AATAGCAGTCAATGTCATTGCATGTAAGTCACATGTCTAAAGAAGCTTTAAGTCAGGTCTAGTAATATTTCAATCATCAAGTCTGAATTGAGTTAGATTAAAGGCGTAGTTCAGGGTTTTTATAGCACAGTTGTCTGCGGTACTTATCCACCGTTAGTGTATTTCCTACAGAATGAAACCAAAGAACTTCCATATTCTTACACATTAAGCCCAACTACACCTTGACTGTACTATGCCACAGATCAGCTCTTTGGGTCAGAAAGTTGCAAGATTAGGCCAAAATCAAATTCACATTTCTAAAGATTTCAAAGAGTTGAAACAGCTGTAAACAGCTGATCTGTGGGCGGGGCTTATGCGTAGGAATACAGCAGTTCTATGGTATTGAGTGCCAACTTAAGGTAATTTTATGCTTAGGGACTGTCGGACTGTGGGCTCATTCTCTAATAAAAGGTGATCAGGAGACTCATTGTAATCAGCGAAGGGAGCATACTATGTCCAAGTGACAGAAAGACATTACTTTACATTACAGATAGAGTAGGTGAAGTCAGCAACGTTTGGTATACCATGTTTGTAAAGGGCTAATCCGTCTCAAAAGGTTTCACAGGCCCACATTTGACAGGAAACAAAGACAACCTGCTCTTTTGGCTAGGTGAAAAAAAGAAAAGAGTTTTTACATGAAGTCTTTTCTGAAGTGAAGCATGACATGTTGAAACTCGTAGGAGGAGAGGAAACCTGCATTGCTCTGCAGGGAGTTACTGGCACCTGGCTAAGAACCGGAGGTGGTTGTAAGTACCTCCCTTAGGTGATATTAACTCATTTACATCTGGGTCATAGCCAGTGACTAACCTGGGATAAAGTACTGACAACAGCCTATCTCACTCAGTATGACCAAATCAGAGGATGGCTGTTGTAGGAGAGCGGTGGGTGACACTGGGGTGTGAGAGGTGGGAGGTGGAGGATGGAAACAAAGAGGTTGACATAAAAGGAGAGTAGACCATGAAGAGGGGGAAGAGGAAGAGGAAAAAGTCTGGAGCTGACAAGCGCTAGCATGTTGTACACCTGACAGACTGGATCATCTGAGAACTGAAACTGAGCATCTGTTGTTTTCACAAGAGCCGCCGCTGTGCGTTTATGTGTGAAGGTGTATGCTGTACATCTGTGTGTGTTCATGCATGCAGTAACAGTAACGAAGCATGCAAACCAGCATCAATGCTTTGCTGCTAGTTGTTTCTAGAGATTTCAAAGACATTAGCAGTACTCCTTGTATTACAAATTAATTCCGTTCATTTTGATGAGCCACAACAGCCTAACCTGACTCTGCCAGGCACTTTCAAAAATTACTCGGCAGGTGATTGGATGAAACATCTGTCTATCACGGTCTGTCAGAGGCGAACTTCAACCAATCAAATGAACAAACCATATAACGTAGTCAAACTCTTACTGTAGCCAGTCGGGAGCCAACAGTGCTGTTCTTTGCTTTCAATGTAGAAATACAGCTCAGTTGTGATAGAACTGATGCTAGCAGCATCTACGCTAACCTCTTTAGCAGCCACCATTGTGGTTTTCAAGAAAACTACTGGTAGCTACGGCTCATGTCAGCGGTTCCTCATAGGACGCTGATGGGTCTAATCCACTGTTTGGACACAAGCTCATAGATTGAAGCCTGATAACAACAAGATGGATTCTTGCAGTCCAGCTGCCTAACAACATTAATAACAGTCGACTAAACTAAAAATTATATATACTAATAATCTCAAAAGTTCTAAATGACCAAATTTGGAAATGTAGGGTTAAGTTAGGGTAAGTGTCAAACCTCCAGGTTGGTTGTTGGACTGCAGCCACCACGCTCATCAGTATAATAATAAAGTCTGGTTGAGTCTGGTCTGCAAACAGGAGCCCAATCGTCCCTGCAGCAGCTCCACTGGGCTGAATGACAGTCACCTCCCCAGCAGGGGTAGAAGATGGCAGACACATCTCACGCTGTAGCAGCACTGACCTCATATCTCTGTCTACAACTGGCACGCCAAACATCTCCCTCCCCAAATGAGCTCTTCACCCCTCTCACCTTTCAACTCCACAATGCCGCCGACCCTAACTCCATCTGGTTTAGAATGTAGGGACTGTTTCCAGCTCTGTGTGCCAGCCAGGGTTTATTTATACGACTAAAGCTCAATGGCATGGTGTGGGGTGGGCTTCTGGACTGCCAACGTTGCTATTTATGGGAGGAATTAAACCAGCTAATGGGCATTCCAGCCCGGGACCAAAGCACTCAGGATCTATAACGGAGCATGAGTTGAAATAAAGGAGTTGAATGCTGTATGATCTTGTAGAGAGTAGACTCTCACACACAGGCAGAGAGAGAGAAGGCACTGTAAACCATGAAGGGGCCCCAGGCAGGTCTACAGGAAGTCTGGCCCTCTGACTAGAACAATAGGCTGAGGGAAATAAGGCCACACTGCCACACAAAGAGCAGGGAGGAGGGGAACTGCAGCCTAAAATAAGCAAAGGCATTGAACCCTTCTCAATGTGGGTCACTGCAATTATGGCTGCCTCCAACTCAGGGTACAAGGACCTGTGGGGGCGCTGAGATGGAGCCATGTGCTTGACAAAAAAACAGAGAGGTTTATGGAGCGCCAAAGGCAACATGTTGGTATCAGTCATGGCAGCATTAGTGTCGTCTGGATGATGGCGCGGCGTGGGGGAGGACAGCAAGAGGCCTGATCAGAATTGTAAATGATCTCCAATGAAGTGTAGGAGTGTGGAGGCAGACGAAGGCAGATGAGAAAGAAATGGGGGTGGGCAGCTTAGGGCAAGAATGAGAGGGAGGGGGACATAATGCTCTGCTGATCCTTAATTTATGTTTACTTCAGACAAAAGCTGAAATGTCAGTTCTTCAGTCTACTAACATGTACATGGATCAGCTTATGATATATACTTTTGTCCTGTTTTCAGGAGTTGACAGTTCACAACAAGTGATGCTGCCTCAGGCCTGTTAACGTTCGTAGCTATTAATATTTGTTTGGTCAATGTTGATTTGTGTGTATATATATACATATATATACCACACATACATACATATACATTCTATTTTAAAAAAAACATAAAAACATAAAAAACCACAGGGGCGCGTACGAATAAAAGTGCGCTTGGTTCATTCACAGATGTTAGCCTGCATTTTCTTTTTCCAGTTTAAGATGTGTCACTTCATGTGATCTCATCAACTACAACAATGACATCATTAACACACTGTATGTTTGTGGATAATTCAGATATCAGCTGTATCTGTCTGCATGTGAATCCCAGATTGATTGATTTTTTTAAAATAAGCTGATGTTTTGGGGTTTGGACTGACGGTCGGACACGAGAAGACATCACCTCGGCCTCTGTGACGGGCACTTCACTAGATTTTTAAGTTTATAGATGATAAATTGATCATCAAAAATAATTGTTGGCTGCAGCCTTAGTTTAACCCAATCACTGACTGTTAACTTGTCCCATAGTTAAACCACACACACACACACACACACACACACACACGGACTTTGCTATGCTGAACTTTGGCCCAGAGCCTGAGTTACACAGACAGAAGATTTGTGATACGATAGCTCAGAAACACAGCCCTCAGCCCTCTGCGCTGTCAGGAGCACATCAGGAAGGTAAAGCTGGTCAAACACTAACTCCACTCTGCCATAATATGAACAGGCCCACGTTGGACGGGAACGCAGTAACTGAGCCGATGAGTGAATGTATCAGGTGACCGAGTAAACATACTGCAACACCACAGCTGTACTGGCAAGAGTCTCAGCACACTGGTGGATCACAGAGGAGGCAGTACGGAGGATGCCCCCGAAAGAGGAGAACAGGTTCAGATCCCTACAGATAAACTAGGGTTGTAAGATCATTTTCAAAAAGACTGTATTGTTTGTTTATTCCATTCTGAAGAACACTGTATTAAGGTTTCAACGGTGGTGTGGTCTTTATACTATGACCGTTTTCCTAAAATTTG